GTCGCAATTATTGGTGGGAGAATGGTAATGCGTAGTCCGAGATTGATGAGATGAAAGGCTGAATAATTGGGCTGTTTCGAATTGTTTCAATCATACGGATACATACGCGCTCTCATGACTGTCACCCACTTGACGGTACAAACAAAAATGATGTTGGCGAAGCTTTGTTGAATATGCAAGTATAGATAAGTCAATTATCCTTTCATTAGATAGCCTTCATGGCATATACTTGATGAAGCATGTCACTCGTCATTCGTCATATGTAGACACTTCTTTAAGCTTATTCCAATGATGCTTAAGTTAGAGCCAAGGCCAGTTAAGATTAATTCAAGCTTCAGTGTACCTTGGCTGCCAAGAAGAACGAGGCCGCGTTTCCGTAGTGGGCGAATTAAAGGATACATGTTGCATCGTCTCCTCTGATGAGACACTGTCATATTGGGCTCGGCGTATTACTGACCGAATACTCGAGATGCTCAGGCAGTCGATCCGGAGATGCAGTATCCGAGTTCTGTATGTGGTGACTTCTCTCTTTGTTCTGTCAACCTCCCAAAAGGCCAGACCTGAAACTGTTTAACTGGGAGCTAGTAATGAAAACGACCAGCGTTACCGATACCGGCCGAGCGCCGATGGCATGGTCCGGCATTGAGGATCCACTTCTGCTCCGGATTGTTGGCCCACCTCCCGTTTCAACACCGGAGAATTATCCTATTCGTGTAAAGATGTTTCAGGCCCTTGGAACCACCATCTTGTTCAATGTTGTCGACGGTAATTGACCATCACCGCATCAGGGGTACAGTGTTCGATAATCAGGATGACTGAGCACGACATCTCGCGATGGCTTCATATATAAGAACCTCGCCGTGACCACCAACTCTCCTCTTCTGTCCTTCATCCTTCATCCTTCATTCCTCTTTTCCAACTCTTTTTCAATCGTTACTGTCTGGACTGGTTCCGACTTCCACTCTTTCTTTTTACACAATTTCTCGATATATACACTTAAAATCGTCAACATGAAGTTCCTCGGTCTTCTCAACCTCGCTGCTCTGGTCAGCGCCGTCCCTACTCCTACCTTCCAGGAGGCCGGAAAGACTCTCGGCAAGCGAGCTGCCATCACCGATGCTGCCAACATTGGTTACGCTACGCAGAACGGCGGTACTACCGGTGGTGCTGGTGGTGCTACCGTGACTGTCTCTTCCCTCGCCGAGTTCAGCAAGGCTGCTGAGTCGGAGGGTAAGCAGGTCATCTACGTCAAGGGCCAGATCTCCGGCAACAACAAGATCCGCGTCAAGTCTAATAAGACTATCGTCGGTGCCGCTGGTGCTTCTCTTGACAACATTGGTCTCTACATCAACAAGCAGAAGAACGTCATCGTTCGCAACCTCAAGATCAAGAACGTTGTTGCTGCCAACGGTGATGCTATCGGTATCCAGAAGTCCACCAACGTCTGGGTCGACCACTGTGAGCTGTCCTCCGACCTGTCCAAGGACAAGGACTTCTACGATGGTCTCCTCGATGTCACTCACGCCTCTGACTTCGTCACCGTCTCCAACACCCACCTCCACGACCACCACAAGGCCTCTCTCGTCGGCCACTCCGACAGCAACGGTTCCGAGGACAAGGGCACTCTCCACGTCACATATGCCAACAACCACTGGTCCAGCATTGGATCTCGCGCCCCCTCTGTCCGCTTCGGTTTCGTCCACGTCTTCAACAACTACTACGAGGATATCAGCGTGACCGGTGTCAACTCCCGCATGGGCGCCCAGGTTCTTGTTGAGTCTACTACTTTCTCCAGCGCTAAGAAGGCTCTCACCTCCAAGGACTCCAAGGAGACTGGTTCCATCTCTGTCAACGATGTCAACCTGGGCGGTTCCACCAACGATGCTCCCAAGGGCTCCATCTCCAAGTCCAACATCCCCTACCAGTACTCTCTTGTCGGCTCCTCCAAGGTCAAGTCGGCTGTTGTTGGTGTTGCTGGTGCCACTCTTAAGCTGTAAGCGGTGATGCTCATTGTCTGGGCTTCTTCGCCAGCGCCATCGTTGGTGAAATGAAGAACTTCGTTTACGATGTATATAATTTTTGAAGGAACATAAATAATCACTAGATTACTTATCACATCTTGCCGTCTAAATTCAGTGTGTGTATTGTCTCTCAAGCCGTAGTCCGAGCGATCATTCTACGTAGAAGGCCATAAGAAATAGAGACTGAACGAGAATACAAATATTGAACTCACTGAAGAGGTTTACTCATACACGTGCCCGAAGCTGTTCTCATATTCAATGTAGAAAAGATTGATCTGTTGTGCATGGTGCACATCTCAAGGCCACATTCAGGCTCATCCCATGGTTCTCTTGATACACGGCCTTTCCCCTGATGAAAACCAGTCGCATACCTATGTTTCTTTCGTTGGCCTCAATAACATACGATTATAGCAACACGAGTTTCCGTAAAAGCCAAGAATACTTCGGGAATCTCCCAAAACCCGATATACTCGGGATCTGTACAGCAACTGGGATTATACGCGGGTTCAAGGTCCACTTACTCCTCAAGTGCGTCAGGTAATAGTCCACCAAGGGGCTCAGCCCGGTCCTGAATGTCAGATTTCTAATGAGCTTATTCTTTCTAAGCCTTGGCTGGCAAGATCATGATTCTCCTGATCGTCAACATGTGTCATGCTGAGCCCCTGAAGCCTCGTTCGCGACCCATCTCAAAATTCCTTCACCCCTCAAGTCTCGGGGAACTCTTGATAGCAACTCGCGCACGTTGGTTGCGGTCAAATCTTGGCAAGCCCTGACTACATCTTCCAGTTTCCTTCCGAGATCATGTTCTCCAGGTCCAAACATTAGATTCAGCTCAACATCGGCCCCCCCCGCTGCGAGCCATAGTATCAGGAGCTTCACCCCTGGGTCACCTCCGAAGGCGCCACAGCCCCAGAGCCCAGTGAAGACGGAATTTCCTTTGTAGGATGAAAATCCATTTGCTGCTTTGTTGATTTCGCGATCAATGTTTCCATGAGATAAGTCGGGTAACCCATCGTTCTCCAAATGGTTGAGCATGTCCATCTCCAAAGCATCCATGAAGACAAGACGTCCTCCCCTCCATGATTTCTTCCAACCTGCGAAGTCTTCTGAGGGCGGCGTGGGACGTATCGTCCATTCAATATTACGCCTTTGACCTCTCATGTCAACCATCGCTCTCGCTCCAGAAACAGCGATGACAGTGTCGTCTGCGAGATGAGGCGCAACCAAGACCACGGGATAAGCTTCAGGAGCAACCCCGACAAAGATTTCTTCTTGTGTGGCGGATTGACCAAACCCGGTGACTTTGTTGGATGATACGACAGCTCCTCCTCCTTCGCCTTGAACTTCTGGATTGTGTGTATTTGATGTGTGAGCGTCCAATAAGTTCACTTGTAGCTTTGCTAACTTGGCAGCTTCTAGTGAGGCTGGTTTTCCTAGATGAACTTCGTATGAGACAGAACCGTGAGCCCTTTTGGGTGCAACTTGATGGTCTTCCAAAAGAGCGCTGGCTTCAGGTGTACTCTCAAAGTATGTAAACAAAGCTTCCAAGTACATCTGTACTGCGGTAGGGTGCCGTTGCTCGGATGAGAACCATATGCCTAGATCTTGATATCCGTCGTCATTCCTTTGAGGTGAGAATGAGCAGAGGAATTGATGTACCACAAGACAAGCAACTTGCCCACGACTTAGATGAAGTGGATGTCCCGGCTGAAGCAGCTCAAGCTTTCCATCAGGAAAGTAGGCCGGCAACGCGAGCGCAATATCGCGGATCTTTGGCCATATCGTATCAAGTATATCAGCTTCGCCTCGCTGTTCAAGAAATCTTTTCAGAAAGCCATAGTCACTATCATGACAAGTCTCTGCGTTGGCGGCGATTGTTTGTAACCGATCAACCAGCTGCGCGATGCTCGACACAGGCGTACAGAGAAGGTGTTTCAACAGCGGCCAAGATGGTATTTTGCCATTCTCATCTTCTTCGACTTCCGCATCGTCGGGAAGGTCACTGAAGCGGTCGAGTATACGACAGGATGCAGAGTTGGGAAGATGAAAGAACTGCGGGCGAGATGACATTATGATGGTTTACAGGGAAGTTAGAGCTTGCAAGATAACATTATTGCTTTGTTCTCTATTTTCGATGGAAGATTTGAAGCAAAACGGAGTGGAATGCGTCGTATTATAACTAATATATTTGTAGAGCTACTTGTAATGAAGATGAGTCTTCGCCGACAAATGACCCCTCATCAACTTTCAGCTGAGTTGAGGTCTCCACTGAGACAGAATTCGGTCACCAGCAAAAGGCATTTCCAGAGCATTAAGTCATGTTCATTGACGAGAACTCTTTTTTAACTCGATGATATTATCTTGACCTCAGTACTACGGAGAACTTGTCGACTCTCTTGGTATAAATATAAATATGCGGCCAGAAAGAACGTCGTGGCTCAGGCATATTGAATGACTACCTAGACAACATGATCAAAGTCCTGTCATTTCTGATCATAATTTACTTGAGAACAGCCTGTCTTGATAGAAGATAAATTCTAGCAAGTGTCCTCTCTTCCATATTCCCTCATTTCACTATTGACCACTTTGTTTGCGGTTCATTCTGGCTAAAATAGCATCGATAGATGCATCGACACTCAAGAGCCAATGTTCTTCTTACCAAGCCGTGACCATCTTGCTTTCTCAGTTACGGCTTCCGCACTTCCGAAAATCATTCCATGTGGTAAGTAATACCTTACCTAGTAGATGAGCGTGCCAAGCACCTACCTTACTTGTCGTTTTTGACTGACCATTGATCTTAGGAGAGGAAGGTGCAGTTTCCACACTCTTCAGCGATGGATGCCCCAAAGCAAGCAGGAGGTATTCTCGAATGGCAAGATGGAAAGTCCCCTCTCTTTCAGGACCCTTGATTTATTTCAGCCGTTTCATTTGAAAGAACGGAAAACCTCAAGAAACAAATCAACTTGAGTTCTGTCTATCATGGCAGAAACACAACAGGCGGCCTCGAGCCCGCAAACTCTGGCTTCAGAAACTTCACATGAAATCCAACTGCGTTACGAAATTTCCGCCTCGACCTTTAAGATCCTTCGCCAGATCAAAAGCAAGCCAGATGCTCGTGACATCTTGAGGAATGCATGCTCTGCCACCGAGTTCAAGTCGTTCCCAATGAAAAAGGAGGAGACAGCCTTCTTCAGAGCAATCAACGACAACACCGGCATCCCCTATCAAGTCAAGGAATTCATCTCCCAACCGTGGCACAAAGTATACCTCTTGGTTCAGATTGATCTGCTCAAGACTGGTTGGCCCAACAAACTATCGGGGTCTTCGCGAAAAGAGCTCTCAAAAGAACTCGCCCGCATGTACAAACTCCTCGACCATGTACTGAGGTGCCTCGTCGACATCCTTGGGGAACGAGGCGATGGAAAGGGAGTCTACGTTGCTCTTGAAGTGCTGAGGTGTGTCAAAGCTGGAGTTTGGGAGGGAAGCGACAGTCAACTCCTCCAAATCGAGGGCATCGGCCAAGCGAAAAAGGCCAAGCTCGTCAAGGCCAACATCAAAAACATAAAGCAGTTGTCTACGGTTGAATTCTACAACATTGAACGCATTCTTAGTCGAAACCCTCCTTTCGGTCAGACTATTCTTCATAAAGTTGCCGGATTTCCTCGTCTCACACTCGACTTTGAGATGATCGGTCCTTACATTCCCGACGCGAATGCCAACTCGAAGCAAACTGCTCCGCACGAAGACAACCGGTCTGCAACAGACACGACAAAACCCAGTCAACCTCTTTGGATTGCTCGAGCTGTTCTCGGATTCGACAATGAGAAGTTACCTCACTGGAGGGGCCGCACACCCTGGCTCACATTACTTGTCCAAGGTGATGACGGACGACTTGTTTGGTTCTGGCGAGGAAGTGCTAAAAAGCTGGTTGACAAGAAAGAGATCATTATCGGTTTGGGCGCCAAGCGTGACGAAAAACTGCAGGTTTCCTTTGCATGCGAAGAGATTGTTGGTACTTTGGTCAAAAAAGATATTCGAGTGTCAGTGTGAGGGATCTGCTGTAGGGAGGGTTATGTTCGTCACATGTGCAAGATGCGAGAAAGGTTGTTGCTAAAGATAGCATATTCACAGCTCCCTCTGACATTTCCGATTGATATTTATCAATACTCATTGTTCTCTAAAGCCATGCTTCTTATGACACCCTCTCGTCAGGTCAACTTCTCCATCATCACAAGGTTATCGAATCACTACTCCTTTGGCAGCATTAGCGTGACGAGGCATAATCCTTATTGATAATGCAAGGATACGAAATTCGAGGATCATCAACACCACTTCCCAAAGTGAAACTGTTCAATGAGAGGAGCCGTGAATTGGCTAGCATGTTCTCGGTGCCACCAGCGCCACCTCCACCGCTCAATGCTCAAAACATTTGGGCCCTGTGGAACATTTTAGCTGCAGGATTAAAGACCCTGTATCCTGGAACAAGCCCCAAGTTTTGCGGCAATTTTCGCATAAGTCACCTGTCACTTATTGAGGCCTTCACCAGGCCGAGTGATATCCAACAGAGTGGGTGATGGATCAATCAGCCCTGCACGTTGAGCTTCAATCCCTTTCTGACTAGGGTGAACTTTGTCGGTGATCTAAATTCGGGACAGCAGAAGAGTCGATGAATGTCACTTGTGACATAGGATGGGACGGGACATTAATTGCTCTAGTGGAAGCGGCCGACACGAGATGAGTCTCATAGGGCAGAGCATTAGTGTGCCAACGGCTCAACATCGTTGGACGGTAAATTTGGAACCCCCGGCCTTGCAGGGCAAACAAGAGAGAAGGCTAATCTTAACTTTGTTCAGCGGCTGTTTCACCCCTCAGCCTTTTTCCATCTGTTTGGTCGACTCAACCTACAACTCATCCACTGCATGCAACCAGCCTTGCAGTAACAGCGTTACACTGCAGCCCAACTATGCAAGTTGTGTAATGGGCCAAATGCGAGGTACGAGACTAGACCTGGGTTCATGGCCTTGTGACCGATCTTTGTGAAAAAGATCATCTTCCGACTTCCCTCCTCGTCTGCTCATCTCTTAGACCAGGGCAGGCTATCTAGGATCGATGCAGGGATCCCAAAGCTGAACCCCAGTCCCCACCAACTTATAGAGAGCAACACTGCTAAATTCTTTGGTTCATGGACGGTGCATGATGATCGGGCAGAATTTGAGTATAGTCTTATTCGGAATGTGGTTGGGCCGGTCTGACACTCGCACTCATGCCCTATTTTGGTATCTCACGTTGACTGAATATGGGAACTCGTCTCGACGTAGATCTCCAACTCGAGGACAGAGACTAGAAGCTTGGTATTAGTCACGGACGGTAGACACATCACAGAGAAGTCACAGCTGCCTATAGTTCGGCGAGGTATGGTGGCGACCTGCTGCAATTTGTATTGGTGGATGGTCGTGCCTCCAGCACAGACGGATATGGTACCCGCACGAAGCCATCGTCGAGATGGAGCTTCCACCTTTGACCCTGGAGACATTTGGTGGCGTACATTTGATGCATTAGCATATTAACATACCCAGCTAGTTGATTCTAACTGGCCTGTGACTCGACGGCTGGCTTTCAGCCGTTCCCGTAGGTAGCAGCCTGTTAATACCACTACTCTTATAAGAAGAGAAATTCTCCTGTTCAGTTTGACCAGTCTGCTTCGCCCGCCAGAATTCTCTCAACCCAATCGTTTTAGGTGGATAAAACCCTCTTATACAGTCTTTCAGATATGCTGCGATCAACTCTTATCCTCGCCCTCGCGGGCTTGACCTTAGCGGCTGATAGCGTTCACTTCAGCAACTCCAAAGCAGCACAGCCAAAGGGTCTTCCCCTTCTCTCTGGCTTCACTCCTCGCCCTCAGACCCTCAGCATGGCTGGTTCTTGCCCCGCTGGCAAGACATCATGCGATAGCGGCTGCATGGATGCAGGCGCTCAGTGCTGTAACAAGGGAACAGGAGCCTATTGTGACGATGGCTATCATTGTCAAGCTGAAGGCTGCTGTGAGGATGGCAAGCTATGCTCTGGCCCTCCCACTGGCTGCACACCAGGCAAGGAGCTCTGCGGCGCGTATTGCGTTACTAAGGGCGAGTGTGTCAGCGGCGGAAGTGGTGGCTCTTCTGGTGGCTCCTCCGGTGGTTCTTCAGGGGGCTCATGCCTAAGCTTCCAGGAGACCTGTGGTGACGGTTGCATGCCCAAGGGCATGGTTTGCTGCGATACTGGCTACTGTCTCCGTGGCCAGACCTGCGGCTCCGGTGGAACTTGCAACTATGGCTCCGGCTCCGGTGGCAGTTCAGGAGGTTCGTCTGGCGGCTCATCAGGCGGCTCGTCTGGTGGTAGCTGCGCCACTTACCAAGAGAAGTGTGGCGATGGCTGCATGCCCAAGGGAATGGTCTGCTGTGATACAGGATATTGTCTGTCTGGGCAAATCTGTAGAAGTGACGGTACTTGCGGCTATCGCTCAAGCGGAGGTAGCAGTGGTGGTGGCTCAAGTGGCGGCTCCGACGACGACGATGACAAGTCCAGCTTCACTCGAGAGTCCGCGACACTTACCTTCGACTCTCCCTCATTCACGGCCCCTTCGATCGAGCCTGTCCCCACGATAGACGACAACAAGTTCTCTACATTCTCTTCGTCTGCTGAACCTACCGGTCTCAGATCTGGTGGCGACGATGATGGAGACAGCGGCAGCAGTAGCAGCAGCAGCGACAATGGAGGAAGCAATAGTGGCTCTATCTTGGTGCCTAGCTTCTTCATGGGCCTCGTTGCCATGGTTCCTCTTTTCCTTTGAGCCGTGACTTGAGCAGCTCGAGACGGTCGTCAAGATTGTACGGTTACCTTAGCGACACAGACAAGCTGAGCAGGCATTATGGCCTGGAGTCTTTGGAGCAATGCAGGAGCTGGAATAATGAATGATGTTGGCTTGGGCTTGGAAATATTCTTGGTACATACCTTAGTTTCGACTCAATATACCCCCTGAATCAATCAAAGAGCCGTGCTTCGTCCTTGTAATGCCCGCCTTAATTACTTCACTACTCCTCAAACAACAGACGCAACCCGGAACTCTCAGAATGCCAGTTCACCGGGAGGGCATACATAGTAAAAGTCAAAATAGTTCGATTCTGTGTCCCCCTACTTCGACAGTAGGCTATTTATATGCTTGAAGAAGTGGGTAGACTGGTGAGCCGTGATTTTCCCTCCTTTTGCCATGCGCTTAAATTGTGAATAAAGAAAATTTGATGTTACATGATGACGTTTCTCTCCGTTATCCCCCAGCTCTGTGAGCAAGGCCGTCTCGGATCCTCCTGAGATCCCTATAATACATCCGCTGAACGCCGATAATCATGGTAGTGTGGAATGTTCATGTGATGGTTGAGTGATGAGCTGATATAAGGTTGATTTCATCTCGTTCCGTCCGTAATATGCCATGGGCTATGTTAGGATTTTATCCCTATCGCTTAGCAGCCTGGTTGAAGCTCTCAATCACTGTCTCCTTGACACCGGGCTTCACCTGGCCATCAAGCTCTGAGGGTGTATCAATTCCAGCCTCCGAGCCCTCCTTCTTGGGCTCGACAAGAGACTTGGCCATAGTTTGTGCCTGGGCCTGACCAACCTTGCCGAAAACACTCAGTCCAGTGGCAATCATGCCGCTGATATCTCCAACATTGCCGGGAACAACGACAGCTGTGCTTTCACGAGCCAGCTTGCCGAAGGCATCGACGTACTTCTCAGCAACTCTCAAGCTGACGGCAGCCTGGGCACCAGCATCACCCTTCAGGATACTCTCAGAGACAGCATCGATACCTTGGGCAGTGGCAGTAGCCTTGAGACGAATGGCTTCGGCTTCACCATCGGCTTCGTTGATTCGCTCGGCGCGCAAAGCTTCGGAAGCAAGAATGACACTCTGCTTCTTACCCTCAGCGATGTTGATGGCGCTTTGTCGCTGACCCTCGGACTCGAGAATCTCAGCACGCTTGGAACGTTCGGCAGTGACCTGTCGGTGCATGGCCTCGACGACGGCGCCAGGAGCATGGATATCTCGAATCTCGTAACGCAAGCAGGTCACACCCCATGCTTCGGCCGCATCGTTGATAGCAGCGGTGATGTTGGTGTTGAGGGCAGCACGCTCCTTGAGAACGTGGTCGAGAGTCAATTGACCGATCTCGGATCGCATGGTCGTCTGGGCAAGCTGAGAAATGGCATATTCGGCATCTTCAACTCCATAGCTATTGGAATACAAGTTTTGGGTCAGTCAAATGTCCATCACGTACTCAATTGCTCTTTAGGGTTGGATAACTCACCTTGCCTTATACGCATCGAAGACACGGGTGAACAAAACACCGTCAAGCTCTAGAGTAACGTTGTCCGCAGTGATGGCGCTTTGGCTAGGTATCTCAATGGCAACTTCCTTGAGGCTTTTGACATATGCGATTCGATCGATAAATGGCACGAGGATAGCCAGACCGGGGTCAAGAATACGGTTAAACTTTCCCATGCGCTCAACGATCCAAGCCGTCTGCTGAGGCACAAACCGGACCACGGTATTGGCCGGCAGCCGGGGCTTCGAGAAGTATGAAGGCAGAACGGGAGATCCGAAGCCGGAGGGGAGCAGAGCATGGTTGGTGGTGCTGAAGGACCGGTGGGCGGCGATAGATCGAGCTGTGATGGCGGCGGCAGCTGAAATGAGACGCGATTGCGGCGCCCTGAGGGCTGTCCGCGCAAGGGACATGGCCATGATATAGAGAGTTCGAGTCTGTTGAAGGTCACAATTCCAGAATGACGTCCTTTCCTCCGGGCCAGTGGGAAAAACACTCTTGTCTGTGGTCGGGTGAGCTCAGAGCTCCCTTTGAATATTCCGACGTTTGCCCGCTCGACCAGGCAAGCTTGATGTGACGCGGGTGGCTAGTGACAAGCTATTTGCCTCGGCTTTCTGTGGCTGTGCCTCAATATTGGCGGGGTACTCTTGCTTGCTCTTACCTACTTATCAGGACAATTCACCGCCTTCCTTTCTGTTTGTTTGCCCCGCGACTGTGACTGGATCCCGCCAAACCAAACCAAACCAGAGTCACCCAATATCAACCGCCGCTACACCAACGTCATCTATCGCGAAACTTCGTTTCTTACTCCTCCACGATTTTGACCTCCGATACCTAAAATCCCACAGTATTTGACCAACAATAATCCGCTACCCAACCAAGTTTTCTTTGAGTAATCGAACACAATGTCTGCCAAGGTTCCTCGCAACTTTCGCCTACTGGAGGAGCTCGAGAAGGGAGAGAAGGGTCTCGGCGCTGAGGCCTGCAGTTATGGACTGGAGGACCCTGAGGATCTTCTCATGAGCAAATGGAACGGCACAATTCTTGGACCTCCTCATGTATGTGCCCCGCTCTAGCATATTGAAGTAATCGAAATTACTGTAGATTCGCGAAGATCATCGCTAACCTACCCTGGTTCAGTCCGTCCACGAGAACCGTATCTACAGTGTTAAGATGCACTGCGGACCCGAGTACCCTGACAAGCCTCCTTCGATCCAGTTCATCAGCCAGGTCAACTTGCCCTGTGTCAACCCCACCAACGGCATCGTCGACCCCAACCAACTGCCCTGCCTCGCCCAGTGGAAGCGCGAGAACACCATGGAGACTGTGCTCATAGAGTTGCGACGGTATGCCAGCGTCATATTCAAGCAAGAAAAACGACATTATATTAACATCCTGCAGATACATGGCCTCGTCCCAGAACAAGAAGATCGCCCAGCCCCCTGAGGGCTCTACCTACTTCTAAATCACGAACACCTCTACACGCCGTCATGTCAAGATAACCCCCACACGATGAATCAATGAATCGAACTTAAAGATCAACAAAGTCTCGTAAGATGGAGTAAGAAAGAAGCCAACAGGCCATACTCCGCTATTGTTCGAGAATATATGCGATTATAACAATCGCGAACTACAATATGATATACAAAGCTGCAGAGTGCCTCTCCCTTCCCTTCCGTCTTCATCACATTACAGTCCCAGTATCCACCAATTCCTATTGGCTTTTCGTCACGTTCGTCAAAGAACAAATTGCTACCCGCTCTTGCGCCTGTCCTCAGAACCAATCCCAGACCCGATGACTCAAAGCAAAGTCGATTTTCGTAGAGATGGTATAAGGCTAGACGTTTCGAGATATCCTAAGAGAGTCGGGCATAGTCGTTTAGGGAAATTTCTCCGTTCCACTTTCATGACAAAGGGGCCTTAGATATCCCCAGTACGCCGCTTTAGCTGATGTACTCCAAGAAAGATAAAAGAGTAAATCGCAGGTAATCATCGCCGACAAAGGAAAATGTTTGATGTGCGTGATCATCAAAGTGACCGAGGTATCCAAGAAATAAAATACTCCAATCCCCATAATGCTGTTTTGAAACATGTATAAATGAAAAGTGAACGTTGGTGAAACGTATCGTAAATCGCAGATGATATGTGTGATATGTTATGATGTCTAGTCCTCAAATCCCCATTTCGCAGGGGGTCCAACGGCACTCAGACGAGCCATCTTCTTGTTGACTCTAGGAGCCGCAGTCGAAAGAGCATCAGGAGAGATGGGGCTGTCGGGTCGAGGCACACCAACCTCGAGATTCTCGCTATGAGGTTGAGGGCTTCGCTGACGCGATCGGCTCGTTTGGCGCTTCACAACTGACTGACGCTCCTTTCGATCGCTGTGCCTACGCTGCTGTGTGTACATGACAACCTCAGGGACAACCTCTGAACCCTCAGATTCGTCTTCGAACTCGTAGTCGTAGAAGTCGCTCAGATCAGGGCTGGGCTCAGCGTCCTCGATGGAGTGCTCTGCCGCAAGACCCTTGTCGATATAAAGAAGGATACGTTCGCGCTGGTGGTGATCATTGTTATGAGGTTTAGGCTCATGAACCTTTTTATTAGAGTGATGTGTAGAAGTGGTTGCTTCAGATTTGCCAGACCAATTTTGGTGACTCAGGTCGATAACGGTAGTGCCATCAGCAGCAACAGTTGTCTTATCCTTGAAGGTAGGAGGAGCAGGGAAATCCAAGTCAAGGTCGAAGGTCTCTTCGGTGATGGTGGCCTCGGAGGGCTTCGACTGGTGACCCTTATGATTGGCCTTCTCGTTTCGGCTGTTCTCTTCCATCTCAGAGAGGATAGAGCCGCGCATGATCTGTCGCTTGTGGCGGAGGGCGGCCAGAAGCATCTCTTCCTGGCGTGTAACAGCCATGAAGCGGTTATGGCTTCCCTTGCCATCAATAGAAGAGTGTGCAGAGCGAATGTAGAAGTCGACGGAGCTTGGGCTCAGAGGGGGCGTGGGCGCATCGGCGTTGGTAGAGATAGATTCGTGGGGAACGTATCTCATCGCAGGAAGGAAGTCGAGCTCTGGTTCAGGATCGTTCTCAGAATCCACTTCTTTGTCTTGCTCGGAATCAGTAGAATCAGAACGTCCCTGGTCGGGATACAAGGCGACAACCTTAGCTTCTTGAGAGTTGAAGCTTGGTTTGCTTTGCCATGTATTCGATGTGTTTGCTGATGAGCTGGATAAGCTTTGTGATGGTGATTGCCCAGCGGTACCCTCCTGAATCGTGTTCGTCGAGCTTCCAGAAAGGGAACTGGTTCGCGGAGCCACGATAGGATTTCGATGGTGGCCATTGGGGATGGTCAGATAATTGTTGGAGCTTGATGTTCGCTTGCTCGATCTGCTGAGTCGCTTTGAGCTGTTATCGGCACTCGAGCTCGTTCGAGCGGTGCTTGGGCGGAAGTCGATAGAAGATCCAGCTTCCGATGTGGCATACTCTGGAATGGATGCAGGGCCCTTTGAAGATGAGTCGATGTAAACATCATCTTCGGAGTCCGAAGAGAGCGATAGAACACTCTTTTCCTGAAGATCCGACTCTTGGAAACTCCTACTGGTGCGCTTCGAAGCCTTAGACGTTCTGGTGTGTCTACTAGAAACACTAGCAGCGCAGTCTGTAGGTGAAGATTGGCCAGGTTTGCTGGCCAGGATAGCTTGGGGTGTTTGAGGTAAATTGCGTTTAGCATATTGTGAAATGATTTGCTCGTCATGAGCCGGTGGTATGGGACGATGCTCATGCTTGCTTTGATGAGAAACAGTAGGTTTGAGTTGAAGCAAGTCTTTGGATTTAGACTTCTTCACAGTTTTTTCTACCGGATCCGGCAGATCCAGCTCATCGTCAGCGATCGAGCGGAAAGACATTTGCTCGTAGTGCTCGTAGAGGTTAGGTAGCCCGTTTAGGTGGTTGTGTGGTCTGCGGTTGTTGCTCTCGCCCGTCTTTGGTCGATTGGCATCTTCCGAGTTCATTGACCTCAGACTCTCCTTCGTAGGCCGTCTTGAAAGCTTGCCTCGTAGAGATGGTGTGCTTGTTGGCGACAGGATAGATGGTGATCGAACAACTTGGCCCAGCATCGGGCCCTCCCATTGAGGCTCGGTCTTCTTGCCTCGAGATCGCCCCATGAGATGGGACAGATCCAGTTTTGCAGGCTTCTTTTTCCTTAGCTTAGCCTCCGCGATGGAGTTCTCCATATCCAGCATTCTTTCCGCTTTCGACGGTAGTCCTTTCGCCATGGCCGAAGCCGACGTCTGCTGGGATATGGCGAGGGGTTGCTTAGTCTTGTCATACCAAGAATGAAGCGTCGAAGAAGACTGTCGTTTCCGGAGAATGCTAGTCATGTCAGACATATCCTCGTCATACTCATCAGTAGGCGCTCCATTGACTCTGAATTGGCGCGGCACGATCTCCGACTCATCTCCCCATTCCCGCATTCCACGATCATGTCTCACAGCTGAGCCATGGCTGTGGCTCAGCTGCGTCTGGGATGTCTCAGGAGCGCCAGGAGCCGCCAGGTTGACCTTTGAGCTGGAGAAGTTGTCCCATTGCTGAGGAGCGTCGATGTTGAGAGCAGTCGATCCGAGAATCTTTTGAGCTTTGCTCATGGGCGGTGCGGTGACGGTCACCTTTGGAGGCTGCTTCTTGCGGCCTGGGAATGCAAACTTGCCCATGATTCCGGCGACGTCTCTCGGCTATATCCTGTCTTCCGTCGCCAGATTGAATATTATCCCCCCGTGGGGAGTCTCTCGTCAGCGCAAGGTCAACTGTCTTTCGCCCAACATGTGGGAGAAGAGCGGTGTCGTTGGAGAGATAGCTGGGAGTTTGATAATCTGCTGCCAAGGAGGCGCTTCGTGGGTTCTAAATATTACTGCGGTAGATGGCAATCCCGGAAAATATTAGTCGTCGATCGCAAGCGATTTGCCGATGGGACGCTGCTAAATAATATTAAGAAGTCGCCTCGTCTTTTGGTGTTTTCCAGACTAGTCTTATTGGCGTGCCATATCGAGCCAGGGATTGGTTATGGTATATTCGATCTGCCGTGCGATATCAATCTCGCTTTGCTGCGTATCTTCCCCTCACAGAGTTCCCGCTAGATGGGACGAACGACCGTTAACGATATTGAATAACAAGTATAGGAGGGGGGAAGAGTTGGAGGGGGATCAGAGGAATAAGAAGCAGATGTCGAGATGAATAGGGACGGTGAAAGTCCAGGTGGGTTCAGCAGACTTGGATCTGGCTTGACATGGGTATTAGTTAGTTACGGGGGTGTAAGAGTCGAGGAGGCGTGCGCTAAGAGGGAGAGGGTGTGAGATGATGATCAAGAAGAGCCTGAAGGCTTTCTCTCCCTCTCTCTCTGTCTGTCTTCAATTCAATCCCCGGTCGCA